ACGTGCAAAATCATGGGAAGTATTGAATAGAATTGGGGTGAGAGGCAAGGTGTTACAAATTATCATGAATATATATTCTAATGTATACTAGGCACATAAAGAAACTGTGCATACACAAATTTAAAATCTAAATTTATCAAACCTGTGTAGACACATAAGGATTTAAACTCAGAGATTAGTGACATGTATCCAAGATGCATGCACATGCCACATTCCGTGACGTCAGTGGGTCAGTCCTTGAGACGTGCAATACGTTGTTGCACGTGCATTCCGGGAAAGAGAAAGAGAGCAAATGAATGCCACACAATACTGTGACTTTGGACAGCTCAACCCCTGCCCTTGCGATCGTTCAAAAAATTAAACGGCTATTGAAACGCATAGCATGCCAAGGCTCACGTCTGCACAACGTCATGAGGCCATTGGGATGGTCCGTGGTGGAATGTCTCAATGACAAGTGGCTGCACATTTCCACTGCCACCGGAACACCATTTCTGCACTGGTGAGACGCTACCAGAACACAAATGACGTCATCGATCGGCCACGTTCTGAACGTCCACGTGTAACAACGCCAAGACAGGACAGATGGATAAGGGTGACCCATCTTCGCCACAGGTTTCAGACTGTAGTGATGACTGCCCGAACCATCCCAGGACTTCGCCGTATCCACCCCAACACAGTTCGACAACGTTTACGTCATCACGGGATCAGACCACGATGTCCCGCCGTACGGCCTATCCTGACACAACGTCATCGACAAGCTCGCCGAATGTGGTGCCGAAATCACGTCCGCAGACCCTTGTTTTGGTGGAGAAATGTTGTTTCCCATAGTGATGGACGTCAACGTGCCTACAGACGCGTTGGAGAACGTTATGCACAGGCCTGTGTCTTGGAGAGGAATCGCTTTGTTAGTGGTTCCGTGATGATTTGGGGTGGAATAACAGCACGCCAAAGAACTCCTTTGGTGATTTGTCAGGGCAACTTAACTGGTGTGGGCTACAGGGATCAGATTCTTCGACCTGTGGCAATTCCTTTTCTGCAACGTCATGGCCCTGGGTTAACATTCCAACAGGACAATGCCCGCCCTCATACGGCAAGGGTTGCTATGGATTTCTTGCAACACCACAACGTTGACTTACTGCCTTGGCCTGCAAACTCACCGGATCTCTCCCCGATAGAGCATGTTTGGGACGAGATGGATCGACGTCTACGCCGTCTTCCTCATCCGCCAGATAACGTCCTTGACCTTGCAACAAAACGTGAGAGAATCTGGCGTAACATCCCACAAGCCTTCCTTGCACGTTTGATAGGCTCTATGCGGCGTCGATGCACAGCTGTTCTCAATGCCGATGGTGGACATACCCGTTATTGAGCTTGTGACATGGTCGTTTGACCCCTGTCCCGCTTGTGGACTCGTGGCGTCATTGTGATTGACTTTTCAATTGAAATTCTCCCGACTTGTTATGGTCTCATGATCCCTCCATTAAAGTTTATATGTACCTTGGACATTGTTATCGTACTTATCAACTGGAATAATATTTTGACAATGCAGTTTCTTTATGTGGCTAGTATAGTTGCTTGAGTCAAAAGCAACGGAGTGTATTCTGAGTTTTTTACTGTCCCGTTTGACTAAAACAGGGTTACGTTATGCGTCCACTTATGTTCTCTTTATATATTTATTATATTTAAAACTGTTATATAACACCAACAGCTCCAATGGCTTCCTGTTCCAAAGCGAATCATCTTCAAACTGTTGACCATCGCCTACAAGGTTCTGAAGACTGCCATTCCCCCAAATACCTGTCGTCACTTTTGACCAAACATGCTCGTTCCAGGCTTTTGAGATCACAGGATAAAGATCTCCTTGTTAACAGTAGATCCACCAGTAGATTAGTCGATCGATCTTTCAAGTGTGCAGTCCCCAATCTCTGGAACACACTTCCTCTTACTTTAAAGTCTGCACCCTCTGTAAGGCTTTCCGTCGCTACTTTAAAACACACCTATTCTCCTCAAAATGATGTGTTCTGGTACTACAAACTGACATTACAGGACTATGTGAAGCGCCTGTGAGCAGCCTAGCTGGAACTCGGCGTTTCTTATATTAAGGTTTTGCGTGTATTATGCTATGGTTGCGAAATCGGGGGTCATACTAAAATTTGACAACATGTTTGCTTGCACGAATTTTTTGCAAGTGAGCAAGAAAACTTAATCCCATGTCGTTCTTGGTGAGTGTGGCTTGACCCTTTGTATACTTATACTTATAAAGATTGATTAAATATTGAAATTAACAACAATGCCCGAGTGTTAAAAAAAAGCCTACAATATCCTTCTTCTCTGTGATGAATCCAGGAAAACAACTGGGTAATCGCTGTAAGAAATGTTTTATGTTCTTACGGCTTCATGTTCCTATGGTAGAATAAGGGCGTTGAAAATAATGATGTATTTTAAAACCAATTTTCACAAAGTATAAGAGACGTATTTATCTGAGCATGGTATAGGAGGACTCGAATCGTCATCAAAACATTTAACCTTTCGTACTTTCAAAACAATTTTTGAACCAGAGAGATATTTGAAAGCTCTGACTTTTCCAAAATACAAACTAACTTCAAATGTGGTGTATTACCACTGGAAATTGAAAAAGGAAGGACATTAGGTGTCTATAGAGAAGAAAGATATTGTAAGCTTTGTAAAAAATGGAAGCGTTGAGGATAAACTTCATTTCATGTTCTTGTGTAAGGCATTTATAGATTTGAGACAAACTTATATCCCCCAAAAGTTCCTAGAAAACCCATTGTTTCATAATTTCATTCTGTTAATGACCACTAACAATTATGATACAGTTTAAAACACATCTCAGTGTATTTATCATGCATTTATGCTTAGAACATCTTGTTAAAATTACTCGTACTGCCTACGCGCTGCTATGTACACATATTTTCCTTACATAATTGGTTGCTATGGGCCGGTGTCCGAAAGCGAAACTATATGGGGATGATAATTGTGAACTTATGCTGTCATCTGCCATCTGAGCAGTCCAGGTGACATCTCGACTCGTCAGTGAACAAACCATCATCACGATCTTGTCTCATGTACCGTAGATGCTGTCTGCACCAAGCAAGATTTGCTTCTCGGTGACGTTGCAGCAAAAATGGACGTATTGCAGGCAGTCGGGGCCGGATGTTGTGCTCCCTCAGAAATGGTCCAAGCAGTCAAACTGGCAGTCTGGAATCGATTCCTTAGATGGGTCAGCCGAAAGTGGTTGTCTTGCTGATGTCACGCGTAGACGGCAGGTCCGAATCAAATCTCTCGTGTTCCCATTATGTTGAGACCGTCTCCATAGAGATGAGATCGTGTTTCGATGGATACCAAAATGTCTGGTTACTTCATTTTGGGGTATTACATCTTCAGCATACCCACGCTGCGGAGACGCTGATTTTCTGTAAGCCGTGACATGATGTATGCGCAGTTTAGGTTGAAATTAATATGTTTTCCACAACATTCAGAGGCTAGAGAATAATCAACTTCATGTGTCGAAAAAGATGCAAAATGTGAGTAAGTTCATTGTGCACGTGCCACACGCGATACGTCACATCAAATTTCATGCAAAGGGCTTTGCTACATGTTTATTTAGGGTTATTTTACTTACTTGTCAAATAACTTATATTTTATGCAATTTTATGTTATGCACATTTACCATTTTTTGTTATACAATCATACAACATGATTCTCCACAAATAGTCACCCAAAATGTTTTGATATTATTTTATCTCATTTAAACGCTTTTTATACATGCACCGTCTGTCACGATGTAGCTACATGGAGGTGGCATGTTGGGAGTTGGAACAGTAACGTTGACGACTGACATCGGTTCGTTTCATCAGGACCTGTCTCATAAATTTGAGAGCTTTGCATTAGTACAAATCTACAGGTGAGTAGACAGGCGATTTGTTATTAGCTGAACAGATGGAAGCTGCATGCCAAACTCCACATGCTATCACATGATTAACAGGCCGTCACATTACCGCACGACGTCGCTGGCGTCAAGAGTGGCAGCACCGGATCAGTCGCTGTTGGGCAAACATTAGGCTTTCGGATGAATCAAGGTTTACTTTGGACTTCCCTGACAACCACAACAAAGCGTGGAGTATACGAAATGAGCGTTTACATGTTGTTAACATCAGACAGAACAATCGCGTGCGTGTGCGCGCTGACACGGACGTCGTTTTGTGTTTCATTAGGATCGCAAGAGCACACATGGATCGTATTGTCCATATTAACATGACCAACACTCAAACTTGTCACCCATCGAGCATGTCTAGGATAACGGCGCCTTCGTTACAAACACCAACCATTCTCAGTGAATTTGCGCAGCAATGCGGTATACATGTATGGGATAAATCAAAATGACATTGCTGCTTCATTAGGAGTATGCCTCTTCGAATCCGTGATTGGCTTGAAATTAGAGGCTGATTATTGCGACATTAATGAGTTTAACTTTCTGTGGTACATGACGTGATGCAGGGCGCTTTGTACAATCGTCTAACAACATATACAGTAAACTGACGTTTAACGACAAATGCTGATCTCCTTAAAATGTCCCTGTTACAAAGATATAAACTATCAACACTTGTGACACCTATTCATTGAATTCACCTCCTTTTTCTATAGAATATACTAGTACTTGTTGAATGAATCAAACGTCAGACCTCGAATGACCATATCTGTGTTACTTATGTACGCTTGTGTGAAAATGCCTGCAAAAACGTTCTTGCTTTTCATGCATGCAAACTTACATGTTGAAGCCAACCTCAGTTTTGTATATAGAACAACACCAGCACCTTTCCTGATACACATGGACTATGATAAAGCTAAACAAGCAGTCACTCAACTCATAACACTGATTATGCTACATATTTAACACAAAGAATAAAGCTTGAATGGTAACTGGATTGAAGAATACCCACAGGAGTTAGAGCTTACTAGAGTAATCGTGGTTATGTTACCTCTTTCAGGCATGCTTTTAGGTACCGATCCTGTGGCCGAGAAGGTCGAGCGATAGTGAGTGCAGTCTGCCGCCTAGTAATATAGCCTAAAATGAGAAATCATCAACCTTTATACAGTCGTAACTGATGTCAACGCATATCTTGAGGTCTATTTATTCATTAATAAGGCATAAGGTACACTTATTTGGCAGAACGTTACAAGATGAAATATTGAACATCGGAGCTATCTATCTTCACAAGAACTAAACACAGGCTTCCCCGTGCTTTCTCAGAGGTTATGAAAGCACCGAAATATCATGAGTTAGCTAAATTAGGTCTGTACCACCTATTATCCTTCTGTGTGAGGTATTTGGAAAATAGCTAAGGAAATGCTGCTAGAATGCTATTATAAATTGTAATTGTATGTGTCAATTTGATAGAAGCCGTAAATGAATCACAATACACTTGGCATTTGCCGCACAAAACAAATCGAAACTATACTTTTAAAAAACATTGGCTCTTCTTCATGAAGTAGGTGCACCGACGTACAAATCTGGTGTCATGATCTTTTTTATCTACCTTTTTAATCAAACTTTAAAAGTCAGAGTTAGGTTTCATTTAAATAGTATATATTACGGGCTGCAATTTTGAATTACATATAGTGATCATGAAAGTGTCCTTTAAAGAACTAACCATGCCTTGAAATGCTCTCTGTCCTATTGCCAACAGTGAGACTGAATGTATTTCCATCATATATGACAGTCACGTCTTGCCATCCTTCCTGCAAAAGGTTACAGCTGTACTGGTTATGATACGTACATACAATCCATTATATGTTATGTGGATATATGAACAGAAATGTGTAATCGTCGTTTTAAAGAGACATTACGTTACTCGTACAACAGACACACTGACATATATTACTTACAGGTAACCTTGATAGACGATATGGTAGCATTTACTTACATCATACTTAACCGAGAGGTCTGTTACGTTGACGTCCACACTGGTGTCCAAACTGGCAACAATGGATTTGTTATACCCGACGAGACTGCCGATATATAAGCTTGGTCCTCTTCTGTCTCCGGGGAAACAGTTTCCCATTATTGTGTAATGTCCTACAGACCCGTTTGAGGAATCATGCCGAAAACGGAAGGTGATTTTTATGTAATGACCAAAGTCCATATTCGAGGTTGACCAGATGACCATGTGTGAAGGAGGGGAGAAGTAAGCATATCCTTTCGAGCCGGGAAACATAATTTCAACGCCGACTGCCATCGTATTTCGTTCATTACCAGACTTGTCCAGAGTGTCAGTTCTGAACGGAATATATGCAAAAGTCGAACAGGGCGATCCAGCTGCAACGTAAATGTGTGCACTTTTGGTCTGTCATGTCAAAGTAGATTACTCTATTCAGCAGATCATCTACATGCTCGGCTAAAATTAACCTCTTATGTAGCCAATTACTAGTATTTCACATGTCTTATCTCGAAATGCACCACATCTAAGTCAGCCAGTCCATACCTGAATCTACAATGGTGCGATTGTCTCTGACGCAGGTACATTCAGCTTCAGAAAAAACAGTGTTTGTCGGACAGGGTCTCCGTATCCAATCATTGCTCACTCGCTGTTCGTACATAGTCTTGTTTGTAGAGAGAGCTCGGTATCCTGATTCCTGGCAGTTACCTTAGACAGACGGTAAATACATTAAATAATTTTTAAGGACAATACTTGTAATTGACAAACCAATACATACTTCCTGGAAGAATTTAACAGCAAGTGCATAAGGAGTATGTGTTAGAGGGATATCACAAGCTACCTTGATGCATTACTGACCAGTACAGATTATCCTCTATACACTGCTTGTACTAAAGTAGTCTTTTGCCTTTTGATGTACATGGAGCTAAAGGCCACGTTGCCAGCGATGTTAGTGGCTCGGTGTGAACATGTACTTTATTTGTTACTCAGTCATTGCATACTACAAGTCACCTAAAACTGAAGTGGGTTACGGGATTTAGTTTGGTATTATTTTCATACGGGCGGCGTGTTTTTTTTCTCTCATATTATCAACTACTAAATGTAAAATTTCAAAATATTTGAGAACCCCAAAATGGAGAACAATATATACAATAGCAACATATATGAATTTTAACCCCCACATAGCAATTTATCTCCATGTCATGATTATGTTTGATTGTATGATTACTTTTACCCTTCGTGCGCACCATGCATTGATTTTAGATATGTGCAACCAAAGGCGAGATTAAATGTATGCGTTATTAAGCAAATATCAAGTTTCAGTAATCTGTTCTCATAGCTCGATAACTTGGAAAATCTGATCATTTCGTTGTTTATTTAGCTATTTATCCGGCGTCCTCAATAATTATTGACAACTTAAAGATGGCACGTTATTGGTATGCAGAATGCTGGCCAGAAAACATCAGCAACTAATGACGTGAACGGCCGTCAGCGTTCAGGTCGACCACGAGTGACCACTACAAGGGAGGATCCAGCACTTACCCGAACCGCAAGACTTCATCTTTTAATGCCAAGTGGCGTGCTAAAAGGGATCTATCAGTCGTGCGCTATCATCCCCAGAGCACAAAGCAGCACGAGCAGATTCGCGTCAAACTCATCGTCACTGGACCTATCGTAATGGGAAAGGGTCCACTGTTTGGGCAAAAGTCAATTTCTTTTGTTCGTGACTGATGACCAGCTCGTGTTTTCCCCGCAGAAATGCACCACGGTATATCTTGGTTCAATGATGGTGTGGGGTGCCTCCCACATGAATTTGAACTTGACTTTCTGACGATCAGGCACAATCTGAATGGACAACAATACATAACTGACATCCCCGACAGAGTTGTTGGATCACATTTCGATGACCATCCTCTGAACACAAGGCAAGACTTCACGGAGGACCATGCTAGGGCACATCGTGTACGTTCCGTTGGTGATTTCTTACGGCAGCAACTCTACCTTCGCCAGTGCAAAAGTTTGATGTATTGGAACAAGCCCTGGATCACGATTGATCGTATTTAAAAATAATAATAATAATTTTTTTCTTATCATGACGCCCCAAAACGACAAAAAGACCTCCTTCCAGAAAACATGGCCTGATGTAATCTTCACCTGTGCACCTGCAGTCACGTGTCCTGTATTCAGTTCAGTGAAGGAATAAAACGCGACTCATCGGTGATGAGAACTCTTCTCCACCCACGTGCTCCCCATCGCAAATATTATCTGCATCATTGGAGCTCGGTGTCTTCCACGGATGCCGTAGACGCGTAACCTATGTACGTACACCAGTGTTGCTAGGTAAGGTATGGGCTGTAAGGGTTGCAGGCTGTGCCTAAAGTGGCTGTTTGGATTCGCTCGGCCGTTACTGGCTGGCGGCCACTATGGGGAGGGCTATAAAGTTAATGCATTTTCTGGAAGCGTGGCCCAAAGTGCCAAGCGATGTTCTCTGGACTTTGAATCAACGAACAACATCCCGCTGCGAAATACCAGAATGAAGCATACCTACTGCTCCCCGTCAGCCACTTTCTCCGAGGCATGGACAAGTCGAACGTGTTTCAGAACGATGAATAGAGGTGTTTTTTCCTAACTTCTGATGTCATTGGGTGGATATGATAAGCGTCTGGTTGTCTGGACTTGCAAGCTTCGTTCAATTTGAGCAACAAAGGATTGGTTGCATGTCATATTAAGGAACTCTTTCTCTCTTGTTCAAATCGAAAATTCATTCACGAGATTGCCAATGAAAGACATATATAAAGCTATTTGCTATATTTAGTTCTGAAAGCTACTGCATGATATTACAACCGATGGATCTTACCACTATATTCTGACACAGGGGGTTCGGGATCATTCTTATCGTGGATAGTCAGTCAATTTTGGAAACTTGACCATTGTTGCAGTACGGTGACTATTACCGTCTATGCCTTTATTGCTTTGTATGATGCTCCCTTTTAATTTGTAATTCTACTGTAATACCTGTAGTGATTAGTAAACTTTTACTAATTTTTACAGTTGTTACTTACACCACATTGCTTTGTTGGTTTCACATCGAGTTGTGTCACTGACTGATTTCATGTTAACTTTAAGTTGCAATCAACAGGTAACTTACATTTATGTATGTTGAACAGGGCATAAGCAGGACGTAACCTGAAACTGCTAATGACAACAGCAGATGCTTGATTGTTATAACTACTTACTTTTTGTGTTCGTAAGGGCTGCAGATATGCCTTGGGCTCTATTGTACAAGCACACGTCTTTACATTGACTGGATGAACTGGCTATACAACCACCATTAACAAGTATCTGTGACTCTTGACAACAGCTGACACTTCTGACTCTTCCATTGACGCACTCATAGTACGTGCGGCAGTTACTACCAACTGATACACGAGCATTTCTTCCTGTGCCTATACAGGGATCTGAACAAAAAGAAGCAATAAATCATCAGCAGACACTTTACTACCAACGTGATATTACGTATAACTTTGTCTTGTATGATTGCTATTACTGTTTCCTTTCAGACCCCATAATATCCCGTTTGTCAAGTATTCCACTTGCTGACTTGACTCATTGCCTATGATGCATCTTAGGATGACCATTCTTCAATTTAAAACATATACGTCACTGAATATTTTTTCTTGAATCCCTTGCTGACTTTAATGTGATATTCAATGAATAATACATGTACATGAAGGCCACAGCTCAATAATTGTAGTGTATAAGTGATGCCCGTGTCCCGATTCATTGTTAAACTAAAACTCTTTAAAGACAAATATTAATTTCACTTGAAATAGATTACGGAAACTCTGCGTCGTGTCAACAAATATTTCCGATACTGAAATCATATTTTATTGCATTTGTAGGGGAAACTAAAAGATTTTGGATGGATGACATTGATACCACGACGGAGTGCCTGCATACCACAGGTTAAGGAGGCTTCCCCCTCGTGGTGAAAAGAACTCCACACAAATCGTCGCAAGTATTTCAATTGCACTTGCCAGACATTTCATGTGACTCTGACATCTGACTCTTACAAAAATGGTAATTACAACGGATTGTTATGAGTTCAAAGCCACAGTGAATCAATGCAGGCAACAGTCATCACCTTTTGCGATTTGTCCACGACATGAAGCATGAAACCTTTGTGAAAGGCGATATCTTTTCAGAATATCTCGACTCTAAATAGAGAACTTCTAACTGCTTACATAAAATGGAAATATGCCATACAAACCTGAACTGCACGTTACAGTTTCTGCTGGAGCACAAGTCAGAGCATCTTGGCTCCAAAACTGTCCCAGAGAACATTCTCGCAGAAAAACCGTCCAACCAGATGCTTTTGGCGCACATTGCACATATTTAGAGCAGTCGCTGGGATATGGGTTGAAACCAAATCCGGCTATTACAATACAGCCAAGGCACAAATCTGAAACAATACGATCACTGGTTTTTAATGTGAGGAAACACATACATTTTACGCTGGAGTTTGACATATAGTGGGAACTTCGACGGCTACTGCAAATATTTATTCACGACTCAAGGTAGTTTTCTGAATCTGCTATTGAGCAGTAATTGTGTTAAGTTTTTGTTGTTGGTTTTTTGTTCGTTTTTTTGTTTGTTTTTTTTGGGGGGGATTGTTGTTGTTGGTGGGGTCAGACGGATGGGGGAGGTGGAGCGGGTAAAATGTAGTCTGTATTGGGACAACATTAGCTCAATACAATCAAGAATTGGTGTAACAGAGCAAGATGTTCCGAGTTATTTTTACCATGTCGTGTAGCCCAGTTATTGGACTAGGATTTGTTGTAAAGATATATTATCGGTTAAGAATTAAATGAGTGTGTATATGTTGGCGGTTTCATCCGGACTAAGTAATGTATATAGCGAAAACATGCATGTTTCCCAAATTAGACATAATACAACCCCATCAGTCTCGTTTAAGGGCCGCCGTGATGTTGCTGGAATATTGCTAAAAGCGGCGTAAAACCATACTCAGTCAGTCAGTCGTTTAAGGGACAACATGTATAAGTACTCAAGTACTCACTTTAAAACAAATGTTACTTGGATTATGCACCAGATTAGCTTATTTGTATCACAAAGTTGCATCTCTGATTATTATATTTTCTATATTATTTCAAACTGTTTCTCAAAACTCACATTGAATAAATCATGTCATCCGAAGAGAAACATACATGTTTACATAGTGGCCTTATTGAAAAGCTTTTTCGAATGTCTTGAGCAGAACCACGCACGAAGTTTCTCCTTCATTTATCAAGTAATTGCTCAGAAATAGCGGCTCCGGAGAGCCAGGTCATAGCATGAGGTCACTTGAATTTTAGTAAGGTGAGTTAAAATGCTGTACTCACCTGAAGGTATGGCAGGTGACGATGAAACGGGTCTCCAGGAGTGGCCAGTAGTAGTGAGATCTGACGATGTAAATCGTGCCGTGCCGTCGGTCCTGTGAGCGAGCGAAGTTTTAAGTGCAGCTGCCGATGCTGTACTGCTTGAGGATGAACGAGTAACTCCAATAAGTGATTGAGGTCCAGAGGTATATCTTAGTCTTGAAGTTGTAGAAGAAACTGAAGTATGTCTTGATAGAGGACTTGTAGTATTCCCTCCTGCAGGTACAGAAACTGGGGTACTTCCTGCTGCAGGTACTGGAACTAGAGTACTTCCTCCTGCAGGTACTGGAACTGGAGTGCTTCCTGCTGCAGATACAGGAACTTGAGTGTTTCCGGCTGCACGTACAGGAACTAGAGTGCTTCGGGTTGTAGGTACAGAAACTGGTGTGCTTCCTGCTGCAGGTACAGAAACTGGAATGCTTCCTGATGCAGGTACAGAAACTGGAGTGCTTCCTGCTGCAGGTACAGAAACTGGAATGCTTCCTGCTGCAGGTACAGAAACTGGAGTGCTTCCTGCTGCAGGTAAAGCAACTGGAGCGCTTCCTGCTGCAGGTACAGAAACTGGAGAGCTTCCGGCTCCAGGTACAGAAACTGGAGAGCTTCCGGCTCCAGGTACAGGAACTGGAGTGCTTCCGCCTTTAGGTACAGAAACTGGAGTGCTTCCTCCTCCAGGTACAGGAACTGGAGTGCTTCGGGCTGCAGGTACTGGAACTGGAGTGCTTCCTGCTGCAGGTACTGGAACTGGAGTGCTTCCTACTGCAGGTACTGGAACTGGAGTGCTTCCTGCTGCAGGTACTGGAACTGGAGTGCTTCCGGCTCCAGGTACAGGAACTGGAGAGCTTCCGGCTCCAGGTACAGAAACTGGAGTGCTTCCGGCTGCAGGTACTGGAACTGGAGTGCTTACTGCTGCAGGTACAGAAACTGGAGTGCTACCTGCTGCAAGTACTGAAACTGGAGTGCTTCCTGCTGCAGGTACAGAAACTGGAGTGCTTCCTGCTGCAGGTACAGAAACTGGAGTGCTTCCTGCTGCAGGTAAAGCAAATGGAGTGCTTCCTGCTGCAGGTACAGAAACTGGATTGCTTCCGGCTGTAGGCACTGGAACTGGACTGCTTCCTGCTCCAGGTACAGGAACATGAGTGCTTCCGGCTCCACGTACAGGAACTGGAGTGCTTCCTGCTGCAGGTACAGGAACTGGAATGCTTCTTCCTGCAGGTATTGGAACTGGAGTGCTTCCTCCTGCAGGTACAGGAACTGGAGTGCTTCCTGCTGCAGGTACAGGAACTGGAGTGCTTCCTGCTGCAGGTACTGGAACTGGAGTGCTTCCTGCTGCAGGTACTGGAACTGGAGTGCTTCCTGCTGCAGGTACTGGAACTGGAGTGCTTTTGCTGCAGGTACTGGAGCTTGAGTGCTTCCTGCTGTAGGTACTGGAACTGGAGTGCTTCTTGCTGCAGGTACAGAAACTGCAGTGCTTCCTGCTGCAGGTACTGTTGCTGGAGTACTTCTGGCTGCAGTTACAGGAACTGGAGTGCTTCCCTGCTGCAGGTACTGGAACTGGAGTGCTTCCTGCTGCAGGTACAGAAACTGGAGTGCTTCCTGCTGCAGGTACTGGAACTGGAGTGCTTCCTGCTACAGGTACTGGAACTGGAGTGCTTCCTGCCCGCAGGTACAGTAACTGGAGTGCTTCTTGCTGCTGCAGGCTGCAGGTACAGGAACTGGAGTGCTTCCTGCTGCAGGTACAGAAACTGGAGTGCTTCCTGCTGCAAGTACTGTAACTGGAGTGGTTCCTGCTGCAGGTACTGGAACTGGAGTGCTTCCTGCTGCAGGTACAGAAACTGGAGTGCTTCCTGCTGCAGGTACTGGAACTGGAGTGCTTCTTGCTGCAGGTACAGAAACTGGAGTGCTTCCTGCTGCAGGTACTGGAACTGGAGTGCTTCCTGCTGCAGGTACGTGAACTGGAGTGCTTCCTGATGCAAGTACTGTAACTGGAGTGGTTCCTGTTGCAGGTACAGGAACTGGACTGCAGGTGCTGGAGTCCTGCTGCAGGTACTGGAACTGGAGTGCTTCCCAGGTGGATTCCTGCTGCAGATACTTGGACTGGAGTGCTTCCTGCTGCAGGTACGTGAACTGGAGTGCTTCCTGCTGCAGGTACAGGAACTGGAGTGCTTACTGCTGCAGGTACAGGAACTGGAGTGCTTCCTGCTGCAGGTACTGGAACTGGAGTGCTTCCTGCTGCAGGTACTGGAACTGGAGTGCTTCCTGCTGCAGGTACTGGAACTGGAGTGCTTCCTGCTGCAGGTACTGGAACTGGAGTGCTTCCTGCTGCAGGTACTGGAACTGGAGTGCTTCCTGCTGCAGGTACTGGAACTGGAGTGCTTCCTGCTGCAGGTACAGGAACTGGAGTGCTTCTTGCTGCAGGTACAGAAACTGGAGTGCTTCCTGCTGCAGGTACAGGAACTGGAGTGCTTCCTGCTGCAGGTACTGAAACTGGAGTGCTTCCTGCTGCAGGTACTGCTGCTGGAGTACTTCCTGCTGCAGGTACTGTAACTGGAGTGCTTCCTGCTGCAGGTACTGGAACTGGAGTGCTTCCTGCTGCAGGTACTGGAACTGGAGTGCTTCCTGCTGCAGGTACTTGAACTGGAGTGCTTCCTGCTGCAGGTACGTGAACTGGAGTGCTTCCTGCTGTTCCTGCTGCAGGTACAGGAACTGGAGTGCTTCCTGCTGCAGGTACTGGAACTGGAGTGCTTCCTGCTGCAGGTACTGGAACTGGAGTGCTTCCTGCTGCAGGTACTGGAACTGGAGTGCTTCCTGCTGCAGGTACTGGAACTGGAGTGCTTCCTGCTGCAGGTACTTCCTGAACTGGAGTGCTTCCTGCTGCAGGTACAGGAACTGGAGTGCTTCTTGCTGCAGGTACAGGAACTGGAGTGCTTCCTGCTGC